AGCTAAGTTCCAATTTTAATCTCAGGGGAATCGGATTTCGGACAGACTGCATGACACGCATTTCCTATTTATAACCTGCAACATTACTACCGTTTGTATGGATACTATGATTCGTATGATCAACTACTGTACCGGTACGTTAGCTACCACGTGAGCAGGATTCTTGCCCAAAAATTATGAGAGCAAGAAGATTTTGACTAACTTGACTGCTTTTGAACTAATCTCCGAAAGTACGCAAGTACGGTACGAGACCGTACCGTATTCCGTATTCCAGGGGTCTAAATTATGACCCCTGCCGTATTGTACGTAGAAGTACGCAGTACTGTAAGCTGCTCATTGCATGAGTTATGAGTTCAAAGCCAAACTACCGGTACGGTATACGCAAAATGCAACTAAAATTGCATTATCATAATTGCCTCCGTGCAACCAAAAAAGAGTACCACATAGGCCTAGACCCGTATATACAGTCATACGTCAGAGTATATTACTGTTTTTTCGACCGTATTGATTTATTTGTGTGCAAAATAATTAGAAGAAACGGTATTGAAATTTTATGTACTACTCTTACTCAGTAGCTTGTTTGTTGCATTCTCAACCGTTGAAAACACGCACGCAGTGCAATAATTCAACACGCGTGGTGCACATGAAAACTTCAGTTGAAAAAGCTGCAGCAGCAGCAGCAACACAAACAACAACAAGAAGCAACAAGCAACAAGCAAACACTAAACAACAACAAAATGACACCAGCACCGGCAGGACAACAAGATGAAGAAGCGCGTCGCGGTTGTCGCGGACGCGGACAACGGGTAGGATTACGTGGAGGAGCACGGAGAGCTGGTGGCGGACGCAGGAGACAAGAACAAGCCCTCCCCCCCCCCAATTTGTTCAGGGTTGCCCGTGAAGCGTTGGAAGAAGCTGCTCGTGATCAAGAAGAAGCTGAGGAGCTGGTGCAACAGCTACGCGGAGGACGTGATGAACAAGGACAAGGATGCGGAGGACGTGGTGGACGCGGAGGACGTGGTGGCCGAGGACGCGGTGGCCGAGGAAGTGGGGGACGCGGTGGCCAAGGACGTGGGGGACGTGGTGCTGGTGGTGAGGGGGATGACGCTGCTGCACTGGAAGAGCTCATTAGAGTATTAAATGAAGAAGAAGAGAAGGAAGAAGAAGGAGATCAAGGAGAAGAAGCTCGTCGTGCTGGTGGTGAGGATGATCCTTTTTGTGAAGGTCCTTTTGGTGAAGATATTGATATCGATGGTGACAACGTCGCGGATGGAGGGGAGAGTGTTAATAGCCAAGGAGCAACAACAACAAGACGGCCGCGTCCTGGGCAAGCTCCTAGGCCACCACCAGGTGTTACTATTCCAGACCAATGGCCAAGTTACCACAGGATATTCCTAAACTTCATGGATTTTGTACATGGGAAAAGAGATGGAACTTTTGATAATCCTCCCACTGAAGATACAAGATTTCCCCGGGACCATATGTTTAGCGATGATGAGCTTTCTAACTTAACACCTGATCATGTTTATAGATTCCTTGCACTACAGGCTTATAAAAAGGAGGATCCAACTCCTGATGACAACCCTRTCCATGCTAGGTCKAATTCTGTAGAATATTCAAAGAAAGGTATTTCATATTTTCTTCCKAACAAGACTATTAAGTGGACAGTTCTCCAAGGTGTTGGACATGGCAATCCTACACAATCTACTAAAGTGAATAATTTAATTGCTGCAATTAAACTGAAGGAAACAAGGGGGCTTGGGAAGCCAACACAGATGGATAGGGGCCTAACAAGGGGCGAGTTTTTGCAAGCMYTKGAWCTYTTGGAACARCAYGGTTCTGKAATAAATAGGAGACGATTTATAGCAATGATGGTAGTGCAAATGCAYTTYATGGCTCGAAATGATGATATGGCTCACATAACAAAGGATTCTTTGAAAGCTTGTTCTAGGTTCCCTRAMTTTYTGACCTTGAAGATGAAGTGGTCGAAAAATGTGAGAGAGGACAGAGACTGTCCAGACCAAATCTTGATGGGCTCAATGAATCCAAAAACATGCGCAGTACTTCAATTGGTGTTATTTTTGGAGAAGTGGTTRCAGGATGGTAACGGAGCAGTAAGTCAATGGCTTTTTACTGAAGGGACGTCCAGTGCAAGGTCGCACATGAAATTTATGAAGAAGGAAATCGAACGTGGAAAAGCCCAGTATTCTGGATTTTTAACTAGGCATGTTTGGAAGAACAGTGCGTTTAATAAGGAGTTGCCAGGTAGGTTGGGGACTCATTCGATTAGAAAGCATGCGGTTTCACTTTGCAGACATACTGGAATGCCAAGGGATGATGTTAACTATAGAGCTAGATGGAAAACCAATCGGATGCAACAAGATCGCTACACAGATATACAATTACTATGGCCGGATATTAATGCTGCAAGCAAGTTGTGTTACGACGGAGTTTGTTTGTATAAGCCAGTGAATGGGTCTGGAGTAACGGATGAGTGGATAACTGAACACGTGACTCCTAACATTGCGAGTTCGTTTGGTAATCAGGTTGCAGCAATTCTAGGAAAGGCATTACTATGGGCATGCTTYGAACCTTCTCTAATTGGTGTTGTTCCAGATGATATCAGAAGGAATGTGATGGCATCTTTTGTACAGCTGAATGAAAGAGTTAGAGCTAATGGTGGTGGTGCTGGTGTTGCAGTTGATGATGGTGCCAATCCTATTCRAAAAGTTGAGATGGTGGCAACTGAACAAGGTGGGGATATTCATTTTGACAAGCTGTTTAATCCTGAATTAAGTGAAGAAGGTGCAGCTGCTGGGAATGGCCCTTTTGGTGCAACAGGAATGAGAAGATCTCATCAACAGTGGATKAATATTATGTATGCAAAGATGCATGACTTACAAGGGAGGATGTCGAATATGGAGAACCTCCTGATAAAAGAATTTGCCTTGCAGAAGCAAAGAAACAAGAGGCTCCAAGCTGCTTGTAATYGAGCTGCAATGGCACCAGTTGCTAGGAGGAGAGTAAGGCCACGYCTTGTTAACCCAGGTCGTGCTGGTAGTACTGCTGGTCCTGCTGGTGAAGAGCAGCGAGCGATCCTCCAAAAGAATCCTGMAAACTTGTATGTTATCTGGAATGAATGGGAGTGTGGCTTTGCAGGTAACAAACCAGCAAAGAGCTTCACTGCAGCTGAGAGGAACGCCAAGGAAAACAAGTTCGTGTACTGCAGGCGGAAGCCCTTTTGGCAATGCATTGAAAGAATCATCAGGACGAGGTCTGGTAATGCTCAAGATGCCATCAGCACTGTTTACTCTGTTTACAGGCAGGAGAAGACTGTAACAAAGATCCTCAAGGCTCTTGCCAAGCATGAGAGGGAAGGAGGACATGCAATGTTGAGGTAGCTGGCTGGTTGATTGCTGCGTTGCTTCGACGTTGCTTCGTTACTTCGTTGCTGCGTTGATGCGTTGCTCCTTGGATAGTTGCTTCGGTTGCTGCAATTCGTTGCTTCCTTGCTTCAGTTGCTTCGTTGCTTCGTTGCTTCGTTGCTGCATTGCTCTTTGGATAGTTGCTTCGATTGCTGCGATTGGTTGCTGCGATTCGTTGCTTCGGTTGCTTCATTGCTTTGATTCGTTGCTTCGGTTGATTCATTGCTTTGATCCGTTGCTTCGTTGCTTTGCTTCGATTCGTTGCTTTGCTTCAATTCATTGCTGCGTTGCTTCATTGCT